ACATCTCTGTGACAGCTATAACAAACTGAGGGCCAGGACACTGAGTGCTGTGGAGCAGCATGCCCTCGGTGTGCAGGACACACTGGCAGAGCTTTGAAGAGAAAGTCGTAATGCAGGTGAACAGAAAACTATGTGTTCTCTAGTCACAAGCAGAAAACAAGGACCTGCTTTAAGGACAGGGTTGTAAAAATGACAGGCTACCACATGGATGCAGCATGTTTTTACAGAAGCCCTTACATCCTGTGGGAGCTTTCTGGAGTGATCCCAGGCAGATCAATCCTGCTGGGAGCTGTGTACAGGCTGCTGCTGGTGATCTTGGGTTGGTTTGGTCTGTGTCAGTGTGATGAAGGCAACGCTGGGAGATTCCCAAGCTGCCAGCAGCACCACTGCCTTGGCAGCTTCTGGGCAGTGCCTGTAAAATGGGAGAGAAGTGGGTTTTAGAGGACAGAGGTAGTGAAACATGGAAGACTCATTTTGAGTCTCAGCTACGTATGGAATAGGAACGACACGGGAGAAATCCTCCCGGGCTTGCTGGGAATGAAACAGTGCAAAACTTCCCTTAAAATGCTTGTGGCACTTGTGCTGAGCCAAGCCCCCTCCTCCATCACCCTTCCCTTTGTGGAGCCAGGCTTTTGACATGTGTCATGCTGTGCCACAGGGGGCTCGGACGGGTCCAGGCTGTACGACTGTGTCTGGAGGTACAATTCCAGCGTGAACGAGTGGACAGAGGTGTCGCCCATGCTGAAAGCCAGGGAATACCACAGCTCCACGGTCCTGGACGGGCTGCTCTACGTGGTTGCCTCTGACAGCACGGAGCGCTATGACCACACACTGGACAGCTGGGAGGCCCTGCAGCCCATGCTGTATCCCATGGACAACTGCTCCACCACCTCGTGCCGTGGGAAACTCTTTGCCATCGGCTCCCTGGCTGGCAAAGAGTCCATGGTCATGCAGTGCTATGACCCCGACAGTGATCTCTGGTCCCTTGTCAACTGCGGCCACCTGCCCTCCTGGTCCTTTGCCCCAAAGACCGTCACGCTCAATGGTCTCATGTACTTCATACGGTGAGTAGTGGCAGCAATCACTTCCCTCCCTCCCCATGTCCCCATGAGGAGAGCCCACAGCTTCCCTGGGAAGGTGGATTTTGTGGATTTTGCAGGTGGTGGACAGAGGGCACTGGGCTGGGACAGCACAGCAGTGCTTCCCCTGATGGTGCAGGGAGGGCTGTAACACCTCTTTCTTTGTGTTGCTGGGCTTCAAAGAGCTGCCCATAAACTTGTGTGAAGATGTCTGAGTGTAACCCAGGGCTGGAGGACAGACACGTGTAAATCCATCTGAAGTCAGCAGCACTGCTTGGAAATTGGCTTCTCGGTTTCTTCGGCTCCTGGTTCAGTCCCCCTCGTTGCTATAAATAAGCACATAAGCTCCAAGAAAACGTTAAACTCTAGTGCAGGAGAGGACGTCTTCCGTCTCAGCAGAGATAAGAGGGCTGAAGATGAAGTGATTGGTCACTATTTTTAAGCACCTTTCCAAATTGGGACTTAATTACCCATCTGAAGCTGTCCTGGTGGCGCAAATACTTCAGTTATCCGCTTAATTAAAAATAAACGGGAAGGCATGCTAGGCCTAGAGCATTTCATCTCCCTGTGTTGACTCTGAGCAAACAAGAGACTTCTGTGATGGCCCCCAGACACTTCTCTTTTTTTTAATCTCCTCTTGGCTTTGCATAAAGTGGCAGCTTTGGCCCAAGACTTTTTATTTGATCCTTTTGGGTCCAGCCAAATGTCTTGCTGGCAGCTGTTCTGGTCAGCTGGTTTCAGTCCATCCTGCCAGGGTGTTGCAGCTGCTCAACTCCTTGTCACAACCTGATTCTACAGAACTTCCTTTTTCTTACCCATTTTAAAATACTGATGATTGACACTTCAGGATTTTCAGATGGCTTTGCATCTGCAAGAGTCAGTGAGGAGATGATCAGGGTTAGATGTTCTTCCCTCATTTCACGTGCTGCGTGCGCATGGGCAGCTGCTCCTTGTAGAGCTGTGGGATAATCTTTGGAGGACAGAAGAGTAGGTTGCAAGTAGAAGTAGCAAATCGGTTTAATAGCTCAAGCTAAAGGCTCTGAGTGATGATACCTCGTGCTGGGACTAGTTTTATACCTGTAAATAAAGCACAGGAGTGAGGTTCAGGTGTTCTCTGCAGTTGCCCCAGAGTGGGGAGAGGAGCCCCTGGTCTGGCTGCTGGCCCTGCCTGGAGCTGCCTTGCAGCATCTTGATCCCATCTGTACCAGGACTGTCTTGGAAAGACTGACAGCTCCTCTCCAGCTGCCCTGACCTTGTCCTCCACGCATTCTTGTGTCAGCAGTGCATGTCTCTGAGTTGCAGACGTCCCTCACCTGTCACTGTCGCCCTCCTGTCTGCCGAGCAGGGTGGGTAAGAGAAACCCTGGGGGATTATGTTGCCTCCCCAGCTCTTCTCTTCCCCTGCCCATCTAAATTTGGCTTTGATGAAGAACCCAAGCAGCATTTCTAGAATGCAGAAGAGTAATTTTGTGTTCTCTTCCCCAGAGATGACTCGGCTGAAGTGGATGTTTACAATCCATCAAAGAACGAATGGGATAAAATCCCTGCCATGCTTCAGGTAGGATATTTTCCCACTTGCAGGATGTCTTAAATGTTACAAATTAGTTTCATTTACCTTTGGAAAACTAAAAGCTTTTTAGAATAAGAACCCCTTGCATGTGGAGCTGGTTTAAGTGTGTTGGAGTCACTGGGAAGAAGTCCTGGATGCGGTAGCATGTCTGGGTGTGCAGCCCAGCATGCGAGATGTGTGGGCAGCACTGGTTCAGAGTCCCACCTGCAGCTGGCAGGCATGAAACTCCAAGGAACATCTCCCAGATCCCACTGACCCCCTTGCTGGATCAGGCAAACACTCCTGGTCACAGTGTGTGTTTATTGTTATGTTGCAGGTTCATGTTGGGGGGAGCGTGGCTGTGCTTGGAGGGAAGCTCTATGTCTCTGGAGGCTACGATAACACATTTGAACTCTCGGACGTCCTGGAAGCCTACGACCCCGAGACACGAACGTGGAGTGTCGTGGGCCAGCTCCCTGAGCCCATCTTCTGGCACGGCAGCGTCAGCATATTCCGGCAATTCATGCCAGAAACCACACAGGAGGACGACAGCATCACGCTGGACAACACCATCAGTTTGAGCAGGCAGAACCAAAACCTTCACAACCAGAACCTCAATGAGCTGCCTTAGCAGAGGGAGCAGCTTGACAGAGTCCCTCAGACGGAACCTGGGCTGCTCTGGGAGAAGGCTGAGGCAAACCATGCTGATCACTGGGAGCGAGAACTCTGGCTGTTGGATGTGATGCTGTGGGCCTGCAGGCAGCGAGGCCTCCATTGCTTCCCTCAGCCCTCCAGGGTGGGAGACGGCGCCACGCTGCCCACAGGGACCCGAGAGCTGATCCTGGGGAAAGCGCTCATGGTGAACCACGCCACAGCACCGCTGCTTACGGCTTGTGACCAGACACCTTTCACTGGGAGCTCCTTCACCCTGTAATGCTTCGTTTGCCACCAAACTCCTTCCTTCAGTTTCTGTCTCGGGAGGGGTCTGTCTGGTAGGGCAGTGGTCTGGACACCCCCCCTGTATTCTGTGCCTCAGAGGGAGATAGGCTTCCTGTGCACGTGTTGGATTGAAAGGTAGTTATTATAGGGTTTTTTCTTCTTTTTATTTGGGGTTTGCAGTTTTATTTTGGCCTGTGTAAGATTTGCCTTTATACTTGCCCAAGTGCCCTAGCCAGATGGGCTCTGTTTATCTACCTTCACTGAAGAGCAGCTGTGTGCAGTTTACTTGTGGAATGTTTCTGGAAGAAAGCAAATGGCTGAACCTGCAGCATGGCTCCCTGATAGCATGTGCTGCACCTTCTGGAGAACCCTGAAGTGTGGCAGAAGCTAAGGTGTGGCTGGATGCATTTGCTTTTTTGTTCTTAAAATTTTAGCTAATAGAGGAAAAAATTGCATTTAACCTGAATTCAGAGATGGAAACCCTGTGTACTCCATCTCTCTCCTCCAGGCTTGCCCCTGGATCGAGGAGCACCCAAGCCCCATTTTCACAGCTTTACAGAAACGTGTTTTGCCCCAGTGCTGTCTGATGCTGCTGCACCCCTCAGCCACGGGGACCCTGGGCTGCTCTCAGCCTGGAACACTGACAGTGCCTTGAGACCGCCGGTGCCAGCAGGGAACGCCAGGGCCGGCGCGGCTGCCCCTCGGTGTCAAACCCGTGGACGGAGTAGGGGGTGCAGGGGCAGCTGCTGCTTTTTTGGGAGCAATGGCCAATTCCCGACGGCGCCGCAGCTCGAGGCATTGCTGCTGAGCTATAAATAACGCCGCACGCGGCCGTGCTCGCTGCTGGACCCCCAGTCCCACCCGCTGAGCAGCTACAGATCTGTATTTATTTTTTGTAGAATTCATTGTGTTGAATCCTCAAGTACAGTTGAACTCCATCCTTTGAAACAAAGGCATTTTACATTTGCAGATAATGTATTTTTATTCTCATAGTTTGTTTTTAAATTTACTTGCAGCAGTCAAGTTAAATAAAACTTGTTACACAATTCTGTTTTCTGTGAAGGGAAGGGACCTGGAATGAGATTTTACTGGGAGTTTCTCATTCCAGATATGCTTAAGTTGGAGCCTCTCTGCCTCCTTGGTAGTAGAGGGAGAAAGGGGAGAGAGTATGGCTGCAACTCTGGGGTGTAGGCGCACACACAGAGATCTCTCCCCACCCTGGCACCACTCAGGCCATGGTTCTCACTCTCCCAGCAACCCTGGATTGAGTTATTTGGGACAGTATGTCCCCACACACGAGCACAGGCACTTTGTGGGTGCTGGAGCGTGTTTTGTTCTAACCAGACATGGGTCATGCCCCGTTAATGGGGTAAGGAAAGAGCAACTGGCAAAAGCTTAACAAAGGAGAAATAAGGCACCGGTTAAACGGAGGAGTTAAGGAATGGACAGAGATGGTGAGCTTTAATCACAGGCAGGGTAAGAGGGCTCGAGGAAAAGGGAGGGCAGCACCAGCTCTTTCGGAGTCAGAAAGTGAGTCACAATATGACACAGAGAGGTCAGTCCCATCCCACTGCACACCGTGTGTGGCACTGACTGGAGCGACTGCTCTGAGACATTTCTTCATTTGACACTCAAACACAACATCATGGTGATTTTCTTTCCCTGCAGCCAGGGATGGGAGACTGGCAGAAAAGGAGGGAGGGGGCTCAAAAGAGTAAGTGTGGCAGAAAGTGGCTCAGCTTAATGGTTTACTATGTTTCAGTGGAAGGGGTGGGTGGCCACACTACGTCTCACAGTCTTCAGGAATCGTTGTAGTTATAATCAGTGATTGCTCAATCACATCTGCAGGGGAGAAGTTCTCATTTGAGCAGAGTTTCTGTGCAGAGACCTCCTCAGGCAGTGGCCCACGAGCCAGCGACTCCACAATCACCTCGGCTGAGCCCACCTCCAGCTCTGGCGGCGGCTGCAGTACCACCATCACATCCTTCTCATCCTCGATGATCAGGTTCCGCAGCTTGCGCTGTCGAGGGTTGTAGTTCTCCACTCGGTCGTGGATCTCCATGTGGCGCCTCAAGTGAGCCTGCAGAGGAAGGGGAATGTGGAGAGACGCAGTGAGGCTGGCTCCCCAGGGCAGCACGGGGCCCTGGAGCTGGGAAAGGCCTCACCTGCCGTGTGAATTTGTAGCCACACTCGATGCACTCAAACTTCCTCACTCCCTTGTGCCGGCGAACGTGGACACGCAGCTGTTCTACCGCTGGGAAGGGAAACGAGAGCCTGTTGGCAGCAGCTCCATGTCATACAGGCTCATTGCAATGCCAACCCGCCCACGGGAAGGAGGCAGCTCCTGCAGAGCCCCACGAGAGCTGGAGCTCCCACGTTACCTTTGAATGTCTTCCCGCAGATGTGGCAGAAGTGGGGCCGCCCCTCCTGGTGCCGGCTGGCGACGTGCCTCAGCAGTGGCCCCTTCTCCGTGAAACGCTGCTCACAAAACTCACAGCTGAACGGCCGCTCCCCGGTGTGCGTCCGGTTGTGCTTGTCCAGACTTGCTGCCGTTAAGAGGGGGAGACAGGGAGAGTGGCTGGTCAGAAGCACAGCCTATGCACCCCCATCCCAGGGGCTGTCAGGCTGGGCCAGGCTGGCCAGGAAGGCAAGAGCAGCACAAGCAGTAGCTGCCTGCCACTGCTACGGGGCATGAGCAACACCAACTCATTCCCCATCTGTGCCATGACAGCAGAGCAGGTGACAGGAAAGTGCTTTTCTTGGTATCAGCCTGCACTCACAAGAGCATGGCTTTGCTCCTGGGGAAACTACTTTCTGGAGGTCCTGGATGCTGGAGCACAGCGCTTGGCATGAGCCAGCCACAGCCAGGGGTACCTTGTGTCCGGAAGGTCTTGCCGCAGAGATGGCACTGGAAGGGCTTCTCGCCCGTGTGCGTGCGCAGGTGCATGTTGAGGTTGGCTTTCTGCGTGAAGGCGTGGTGGCAGAACTCACAGACATAGGGCCGCTCGTTCCTGTGGGCAGAGAAACATCACCGTCACCTCTGCCTCCACCAGCTTGGGTCTCAGCCCAGCACCTCTGGGAAGAGGGTGACTTTCAGCCAACCCCCAGGCCTGTGGGGCAGGGGCTGCAGCCAGGAGAGCCAGGGTGATGCAAGAGAGGACATGGGTCACACTGTACCTGTGCTTGGCCTTGATGTGCATCTGGAGGCCGTTGCGGCTCGAGGCCCTGTGCCCGCACTCCTCGCACACAAACAGCTTCTCTCCGCGGTGCTTGAAGGCCTCGTGTAGGCGCAGCTCTGTCCGGGACAGAAAGCACTTGGAGCAGGTTGAGCACTGCAAGGCCACAGGAGAGGAGGGTGTTAGGGTTGGGGTACACCCACCCCAGACCCACTCACACCCAGCCTTTCCCCAGCTGCTCCAGGGACCTCCCTGTGAAAGCCAAGGCAGCACCACCAGCTCAGAGACACCCAGTGAGATGGGACAACCCAACAGAGATGAAGTGCTGGTCAGTGCTTGGATCTGTGGGCTGCTCCTGTACCAACAAAGCCCGTTTCCAGTAGCTCTGTGCCCCACCCTCTCACTGAAACAGCCAGACATAATGCTGTGCCATTCCTTAGGCCAGGTGCACGCTCAGGATCACACTCTCCCCAAAACCCCTGGTCCCTACCGCATGGGGCTTGGGTGCACCGTGCAGCTTTATCATGTGGCTCTGCAGCTCCTTCTTCTGCATGAACTGCTGTGAGCATGAGGAGCACTGCAAGACAGGAGAATGTGGTCAGCTTCCAGCTGCCCCTAAAGTGTGGTTTCAGAGCAAGTAGAGGACCAGCAAGGGAGTAGAACACAGATTCCTGGTACAGCCATGGGAAGACTTTGGCTGTGGTGACTCCCTCACATTTTAGTTCAGAGACAGGGAACAACCCCGAGTGGGCTGTCATGCACCAGAGAAGGGAACTGGTGCGCTAGGCTGCCCTAGAAGGGAAAGGCTTGCCCCTGCTCCGTGCCAGTGTCCAGCAGCATCCATAGGGATGCTGGATGCAGGCCCTGCTGACCTTGTATGGCATCTCCCCAGTGTGTGACACCATGTGCAGCCGCAGCTCCATCCGCCGCTTGAACACCTCCGGGCAGGCTGAGCATGTGAATACCTGTGAGAGACAGGGAGGTGTTGGCTTCCACAGGACCCTGAGCCTGACCTGGAGCCCACAGCTCAGCCTCCTGCCCAGCACGTGGCACTGGCACCCAGCTCCAGCATTCAGCCCACACCCACAGGAGCTGAATCTTGTACACTACAGAGTCCTGGTGTGCTGAAACACAAGTGAGGGCTGTGTTGTGTATCAGGCGTGAGTCCCAGCCACAGCGGCCCTGGCCGTGGGGGTCTCAGCCCTGGAACATGTGCCACATGGTGCTGGCAGGGGTCTGTTTGGAACTGAGCATGGGCTGGGACTGGGAAAAGTCTCCAATACCCCTGCTGCCACACGGCAACCACACTCCAGCCCAGCAGGGCAGCTCCTGGGCATACCTGTTCCGATCTGTTCATGCAGTTCCTGGCTTCGTGTTCCAGGAGATTCTCTTTTCTAAAGTAACATTTGCCACACTTGGAACACTCAAATGGCTTCTCTCCAGTGTGTTTCCTTGGGGTATGCAAATACAGAATCCCATCACTGCCTGTCAACAGCATCTGCACAAACAGGCCCAGATCACAGGGAAGGGTGAGGTGGGTACTTCCCCCCACCCCCACAGTGCTACTATTCACAGCTGCCCTAAAGCTGCTTTTATGCTACTTTTGAGTCCCCCTCAACAGCACAGCTGTCAATGTCCGCTGCGCTCCACAGAACACCATTTCTGCAGGGCCAAGATTCTTCCCCAGCACAAGTGAAGCAAAGCTTGAGCTCTCACTGCAGGGCCATGCCCTGCTCTTGGTGATCCACCCTGGAGCTCCTCACAGAGCCCAGCCATGTGTCCTCCACAACCCCAGAAACCCCACCCCAAAACCCGGGGCACTCTCAAAGGCCAGGAGAATTTGCCATTGCCCACCTGCAACTACCAGCCACTGCAGCTACCAAGGAGTCCCTCACATGGCCTTCCTGAGCCACAGCTCAGGACAGTTCGGGATGCCTTTCATCAACATATAACCCTCCCCCAGGCCAGAGCACCCCCAGGGGCAGAGCAGACCCCCCTTTAGCACCCTGCGGGATGCCGAGATGCTGGGACAAGCTGGCAGAAAGGACACTGCCCTTCCATCCCCCCGGGAAGGGGCCGAGCCGTGGGGGCGGCGCGTCCCCCCCGCGCGCAAGGGGAAGGAGAAGCCGGAGCGTTTACCTGTTGTGCACTTTAAGGTAATATTTGCTGAGGAAGGTTTTATGACATGTGGGGCACTCGACCGGCACCGCTGTACCTTTTCTGCTCCCCGGCGCTTTTCCCGGAGCGGGGGGACTCTTTTTGCTCCGCAGCACCTTTTCCTCAGGAAGGGGCTCAGCGTCGCCGTCCCCCCGCCCGCCGCCACCCACCGCCGCCTCCTCCGGGGCTGAGGGGGAGCCCTGCGAGGGAACAGCGGCGTCACCGCGCCGCCCCCGCCGGGCCCGGGCCCCGCCGTCCCCCTCCCGCCCCCCTCACGCACCGCCTGCCCGCCGGGCTGCGGGGCCGCCGCGGGCTCCGGGCGGGCGGCGGCGGCGGCGCGGCGGGGCCGCGGGCGGAAGGCGCGGCACAGCGCCACGGCGTCGGGCACGCCGAGCTGCTCGGCGGCCGCCAGCAGGCGGGCGCGGTTGTGCGCCGTGAGCGCCAGGCGCCCCGTGTAGAAGAAATCGAGCAGCAGCTGGAAGGTGTCGGCGAGGCCGTCGGGCAGCGCCACGGGCCCGCCGGGGCCGCGGGCGCGGAAGAAGCGGGAGCAGCTGGCGAGCACCGGCCAGTGAGCGCGGAACTCGCGGCCGCCCACGCCGAGCGTCGCGTCGCAGAACTGCCCGGCCGCGCGCTGCCGGTTCAGCTCCCGCAGCACCCGCACGCTGTGCGCCGCCGCCGCCGCCATGGCCGAGCACCGGAGCCCGCCGGCATCCGCCACCGCCGGACGTGGCGTCAGCGGGCGCCGGCAGTGACGCCGGCAGCGGCCGGGGCGGGCCGGGGCCGGGGGCCGGTCCCCGCGGCGGCGGAGGCGCGGTGCGGCTCAGGCGGCGGCCAGGCGGCGCGTGTACTCCTGGATGGCCATCTGGAAGTGTTCGGCCGTGTTTTGGTGCGGCCGCAGCAGGATGACGAAGGCTCGCGGCGCGAAGTACCCGCCCAGCAGTGCTGCGAGCGTGCCCAGCGTGCCGAGCACCCGCCCCGCCGTCGCGGCCCGGCCGAGCAGCAGGTCCTGCGAGCAGAGCACGGCGGCCGAGCAGCTCAGGTGGAGCAGCAGGCTCACGGTCAGGCTCTTGGCCTCGTTGTAGGCGGCGGGCAGGTCCGTGCCCGCGTAGCTGAGCGCGAAGCAGCCGGCGCTGAGCAGCACCGTGTAGGCGATGGCGGCGTCGGCCGCGGCGCTCTTGGAGCACTCCAGCACCACCCACTCGTCCCGTGCGCCGTACTCCCGGCGCGGCACCGAGGGACCGGTGGCCTCGGTGACCACGCACAGCGCCACTTGTACCGCCGAGTTGGCGGCCACGAACAGCACCGGCCCCTGGCGCCGCATCCAGGCCTTGTAGAGCGCAGGGTAGCGCGCGTTCAGCTTGAAGATGCAGAGGATCTGGAAGGAGCGGGTCGCCACGCACGAGAGGAACACGGTGAAGCTGATGGTGAAGAGGGGGACCCGCAGCAGGCACGCCGCCTGCGAGGGCTCCCCGAAGTAGCAGAAGAGGCTGCTGCAGGTGCAGGCCAGGGAGCCCAGCATGAGGAAACACGTCTTCCCGCCCGCGGACTTGACCACAGGTGTGGAGGCATTGAGCGCGAACAGGACAGCCAGCGCTGCTATGAGCAGCATGAGAAGAACAGCCAGGGCCAGCAGCACCCAGGAGAGGGGCTCGGACCACGACAGGAACTGCATGGTGCGGTTGAAGCAGACCTCGCTCCCCGCTGGGGCCCACTCATCCAAGCCACAGGCCTGGCAGTCAAAAGGCTCTGTGGAGGACACGGACACCTCACACACCTCGGACCCGGTAAGAGCTCTGCCACGGTGCGGGGCCCGGCCCGCAGCTCCCTGGGCTCTGCTCACCCATCCCACTGCTCCCTCCTGCGGGCGCTCCCAGGCCTGGGGCAGCAGAGCGGGTTCTTTTCCTAAAAGGTCCCCCACCTAAAATTGGCCCCATGGACTCTCCCAAAATCCATGGCCTGGGCTGAGCTAGGGGTGAGGCTTGGGGCCATGGGAGCTGTGGGTGGGAAGGGGTGCATGCATGAAACACTAACTTGGGAAGGATCTGCAGCAGCTGCTGTTGAATGGGACAGTACCATGTAGGGGGGGCTTTCCCACTGTCCCCAGAGCTGCCCCTGCCCACCCCACAGGCCAAGGGTGTTGAGGCACTAGCTGCCAGGAAGGGGTTTGTTGTTTTGGCTGGTGATGCTGAGGCAGGAGACATTTCCATATGCCAGGTGCTGATGATCACATAGTGCAGAAGCCCCGTGTGCCATCTGGGCCACAAAGGCAACCACTCTGTTGAATTTCCCTGGCAGAGGATGTGGTGCAGGGAACAGCTACCGGGCTGGACATCCCCTTTCCTTGGCCACAGGCAAAGAGGCTCTGTTTGCCCAGGTGGGCTCACCTGTGGGCAGTACTCCCCGGAAAGCACAGGGCATGGGCTTTGCATACCCACTGGTAAGCAAACAGGAGCCAGACCCACTGCCTTCAGGTTGGCTCAGAGGTTTTACTGACCACAGGAGGTGTGAGGCTGGGAATGGTGAGACAGGAGCAGGAGGTAGGATGTGGGCAGGGGAGGAAGGAGAATGATCAGACCCTGTGGTGTACTGACCCGATGTGTTCAGGAAGGTTCCTGGTGGACAGGCCACACAGCTGAAGCAGCACTTGTGGTGGCTCTGCTGCAGGCGCATCTCTCCTGGCTCACAGGCCTCAGAGCACACCGAGCTGGGAGCCTGCCAGGAGCACAGACAGGTCAAGCAGCAGCACTCTGGCACCCCCACACACTGCCTCAGCCCTCAGTTTTGCCCTGCTATGAGGAAACATCCCAGAACTGGTGGCATTGGGATGTAGTCAGCTGAGAAGCAAGCAATAAACAAGACCTGGGTGCAGAACAGTACCTGGCCATCTTCTGTGTGCCACAGGACTTTGCCTGGGTCAATGCTCAGTCTGTCAGGGTTTACACGGAAGGTTCCTATCACATCAGAAGTCCAGTTTGGACCCAGCCACTTCCACATGACAATGTCATAGCCTTTGTGAATGTCCCCATGGGCATCAAAAGAGATTCGGCTATTGTACAGGGTGAAGTTTACTTGCTTAATCTTTTGTAGGAGCTGTAAAAGAAAAGAAAGGAGCCCTTCCAATGGCACAACTCCTACCATTGGAAGGAGATGTGCTGGACATTTTCTCTGTTCTGCAACCGCTTTCAAGCCCCCCCAACATCTATAGGAAATCTCATTCAGTGAGGGGAGGGTGGTAGAGGAACAAGAGAACTAGGATGGAGTCTAGGTCTGGGCTGCTCTGACTGTGAGGGGCAGCTGAAGCTGACAAGGGTCTTCATCTGGGATTTGAGCCTTTGGGAAAGACAGGAAACCTTTGGGCACAATGGAAAAATCCTTCCCTGTGGGAAGGGACCCTCATGGATCTTCTACCACAAGGTTGGTCTTACCTGCCAGGGATAGACAGTGCCTTTGCTGCAGGCCCCCGAGGCACAGCCCAGCAGGTCATGGAGGCCATGGGCCACGGCATAAACAGCCGAGTACACATTGAAGGAGCCTTGAGCGTCGTACATGTCAGGGACGGTGGCAAGTGCAGGGCAGCTGGTGCAGCGCTGGGTGCAGGCCAGCCACGCGTTCCCCGCAGATTCCTCGCCTGCCTTTGCACTGCTGGCACACTCAGCCACAGTACCTTTGTCCGACATCCACCAAGCTTCAAAGCGTTCCAGCATTGCGGACTCTGGCTTCTCTACTGCCATCCCAAACACTGTACCAATGGTCTGAATGCCAGGTACCTGCCAGATCCTTTGAGACAACGACCAGTCTTCAGAGGCCACCCACACCATGCCTGTGATGTTCCTCTGGACCACCACCTTGAAGAATGGCAGAACAATTCTGCTGGTGGAGAACACAACAGTGACGTTGACCTTGACATCTGTGAGAATTCGGACCAGATTGTGAAGCTTGGGGTTGCTGGCATCCAAGTTGGCAGGGATGGTGCCTCGGTAGGCCACGCACACATTGCTTGTGGTCAACATCTCCTGCAGAGCATCCAGGCCAGCCCTGCCATAGGTGTTGTCGCTGCCCAGCAGCACCACCCAGGTCCAGCCAAAGTGCTGCAGCAGCAAGAAGATGGCCTTCACCTGCTGCCTGTCGCTGGGGATGGTGCGCAGGAAAGAGGGGTACAGCCGCTTCAGGCTCAGTGCCTCCGTGGAGGCTTCGTAGCTGATCTGTAATGAGAGCCAGGGAAAAGGGGGATGCGCTGCCCCAGGCAGCTGCACCCCTGAGAGCAAATGGCATAGGCAGCCTGTCCTGGGAAGACTTGGAGCTGGGCAGGCAGTGGACCCAGTGCCAAGTGTGCTGAAGCAGGAGAAAGCTGCAATGGATGGCAAGCCAGCCCACTGACTGTGAAATATCTTGTGACAGCACACACAGAGGGGCTGCATTTCCAGCTCTACTAGTCTCCTCAGGTCTGAGCCCACCATCCCTGAAACCATCACTCCTTGGGATCCCTGGTTTTCATCAGCCATAGAAGCTGCACTTACCTCTGGTACAAGAAAGAGGCTGAGAACAGCGGCTGTGGTGAGGGCCAGCTGGCTGCTGTCAGGGCCAATGACAGCCACCGCCTGGGGTTCATAGTGCTGGAAACTGGGGAGCACCTGGACATACTGCTTGCCTTTACGAGCAAGGGCACACAGCGTGGCATGGAGGTTGGTAGTCTCAGAGCAGGTGTCATAGATCTCGTAGCCCAGGGTAACATTAGGGAGCAGCGTGGTGGAGTTGTTGATCTCCTCCACAGCGAAGCGCAGGGCCTGGGACAGGCAGTAGCCGTGGCTCTTGAAGGCGGCTCTGTGGAATCGGGAGTGGTTGTCGGGGGCACCGAGCGGGGTGGGGGCACGGGCAGTGCGGGCACTCACTTGTCGCAGCCGCGCACGAGCAGGCTGGCGGCCTCCCGGCGCCCCTCGGTGTGCAGCGGGAACAGCCCGGCCAGCTGGTGGTCGCCGCGGAGGCTGAACGAGCAGGCGGCGGCGGCGGCTGCACAGAGGCACAGGCGGAGCAGCGCGGGCGGCGGCATGGCGGGGCGGCCCCGCTCCGCGCGGGCGGCTCTTAACGGGGCGGCGGCGGGCGGGGCCTCGCTCCGGGCGGGGCCGGCCGAGGGGCGGCCCCGGGAGGCGGAGGAGGCTCGGCGGTCATGCCCGCGCGGCGCAGCCGCCCCCGCCGGGCTCTGGCCCGTGCCCTGGCCCGCGGGAGCCGGGCGGAGGCGGCCTGGCGGGAGTTCGCCGCCTCCTTCACTCGCATCGGGATGGTGCCGCCGGCCGAGCCGGGGCTGGTGGCCGTGGAGGCGGCGGAGGGCTCGGCCGTGCTGCTGCTGGAGCCGCGGCAGGTGAGCAGCGCCCACGGCGCGCCGGCCGCGCCGCGCCCCGCAGCGCCTGACCGCCCGCTCTGTCCTGCAGGCGCTGACCTTCACCGGCAAGTGCCGCCTGCGCTGCCTCTATGGTGCCGTCCGCCTGCTGGGCTTCGCCGTGGCCTCTCACCACCCGGGACTGCCGGTTTTCTCGCCGGCCACGCACTGCGCGCTCAGCCTGGAGGCGCTGCCCGGCGCCCGCCCGCCCGCCGCCGCCCTCCGCCAGCTGCGCGCCGCCGCCCGCGCCGCCATGCGCTCGCACCGCGTCCGCCGCCGTGAGTGCGGGCCGGGCCGGGGGCGCGGGCGGGCGCCATTTCACGGGCGGTGCGGGGAGCGGCCATTTTGTGCGCGGGGCGCCGCGCAGCGGGTGGGGCCATTTGGCGGGCGGGTGCGGGGCTGAGGGTGATGGCGGCACTTGCCTCTTCCAGCGGCGCGGGTGAAGGTGATGGCACGGTTCTCTCCCGACTGCGCTGTGGTGCTGCTGGAGCACCTGGACACGCCGGTGACGCGGTTCCTGCTGAGCCACCCGCCGCTGTCGCGGCTTTTCGAGCCCCAGGTGAGGCGGCGCGGTGCCCGCTGCACCCCGTGCCGTCCCCGCACCGCCCGTGCAGAGCCGGCCGTGGCCTCACGCAGCCCGTGCTCAGTGCTCACCCTCTCGCCTAGAAAAAGGAGGAGTCTAACTTCAGGCCCGAGGACGCGGTCCTGGCATCTGTGGGCATCGTGAAGTGCAGCCCCGACAGCGGGCTGCTGGTGTCGGAGAGCATGTGCCGGGCGCTGGAGGAGCTGATCCAGGCCTGCTGTGGTGAGTGCAGGCCTTTGGCTATGCTGCGGCTTTGGTAGCCTAGAAAAAAAGGAAATTCATGAGGCTTTTCTTGAGCTTAAGTTGCAAAAATTCCCTGGCCAGCACATGCTGCTTGAGAGACGAATTTTTCTTTATGAAGAATGTGTATCTAGAGTTTAGGTATTGCCTAGGGTGGGTCAGTGATGCCAGCATCAGTCCAGTTCACAGTCTGCTTTTCTTTCTAGCTGAAGATGAAGGTATCCCTGTGGTGCTCGTGTGTGGCCCAAAAAACACTGGGAAATCTACATTCAACAGATACTTAATTAACCTGTTACTGAACCGGTGAGTCTTTCCATGTTCTGCAAGCCTTTATGTGCTGCATGAGATTTAAGAGAAGGAAAAAAGAACAAATGTTTGACAGGTCTCTCAGAAGAGCCATCAGAACTCATAGGTGCATAGTTGCTTCCTGAATATTTATACTGGAAGACTGTTAAATTGCTGCTTTGGAGTGTGTGAGCACTTTGGGCACCAAGCAGTGTGGGTTCAGTAGAGGAGTTACAATGCTTAGAAATGCACTGTGAATGTGGTTGAGGGAAGGAGAGATTCATGAAAAAATCGGATTGCTCTTCTGATGTGATTAAATCATGTGGATGGTAACACACAGTCTCTTTCTCTGCAGCCTTCCTGTGGTGGAGTACATGGAGTGTGACATCGGCCAGACAGAATTCACTCCGCCCGGGTGCGTGTCCCTGAGCAGCGTCACGGAGCCTGTTCTGGGTATGTGTTCCGCTACTTTGCGGTTATAGAGACCTGTTCCGTTTCTGAAATGAACAGGGTGTTCTGGGCAGAGGCTCTGCTTCAGGGGAACCTGCTGCCACAGCTGTCAGAGTTTCCTGGGGAGAATAAACCACGGGCTGCTTAAGTTTTCTTACAAGGACATTTAAGCTCCCTGAGTAACATGGAGCTATTATTCTGGTTTAAAGAAATACGATGTTGTAGAGGTGGTTGTACATGCTAAGGTATATCAAAGGGGGTGTTCTGCCTTTCTCTTGTGAAACGTCTCCTTGGGAAAATCGATATCCATAGATGAAACTAACTTTAGAAATCCGAAGTGGATCTGCACAGATTGAGGCTGCTGTGATGAGTGGAAAAAACAGAGTCCAGGAAACTGCTGGAGTTTGTAGTCATGCAGATTTGAGTTACTGTCTAAAAGGACATTGCCAGGCTGGTTTGAGGTTTAACCAGTTTGTCATAGACTGTTCTTTAAAGATTTGCAAGTGTGTGAGCAGTGATTTCAAACAAAAAACCACACCTAATATTAGCCCGAAACAAACAAAACTCCCAGCCTGCAAGTGACAAACCAGTTTCCCCTACTTGCAGGCTGTGCAAGGACAACTAGCAGGTGGGAAGAGTGTGGGTTATTTCAGGAGAGGAGGCATGTGGGTGCTCAGGGACGGGAATGTTTTGGTTTGACTTGGGGAAAGCCCTGGATGTTCGGTGCTGTCTTTGCCAGGTCCCCCCTTCACTCACCAGCAGATGCCCAGTAAGATGGTGTATTATGGCCAGACCAGCTGTGAGCACGACACGGAGAGGTACCTTGATGTTGTGAAATACGTGTTCAGCTACTACAAGAAGGAAGTGCCTCTAGTCATCAACACCATGGGCTGGGTGAAAGGTAAATGGGGTCAGTCTGCTCTGGAGAGGTGTGGGAGGGAGGTAACGGTGGCACAGCACCATGTGGAACAACAGTTCACAGCGTGTCCACCCTGAGCAAATGCTGCTGAAGTAGTAACAGCAGTCGTGTGTTTCCTGTTCTCCTGAAGGTGAAGGGCTGCTGCTCCTCATTGATATCATCCGGCTGTTGTCACCCAGCCACATTGTTCAGATGGACATGTGTGACTGGAAGGCCATGCCTCCGCTGACGCCTGAGCACATCCACTTCAGCGCTGGGCTGCACACCAAGGGCAAGCAGCAATCCAAGTGCAAGCAGCTGGGAGTGGGCAGCATGGAGAGCTGGCAGTACCCTGAAGGGGAGGACGTGTCAGCTCCACAGCACAAGCTGCTGTATGTCCACCCAGAATTCCCTCGGGCGGGGCAGGCAGGTGAAGCGTAAGTAGGTTGTTGAGTGCTCTGTGAGGTCCTGAATGGGCTGAACAGAACCACACGTCGTCCTTGACATGGGGTTGTTCTTTCAGGCGAGTGCACAGCGGCATCCTGCGTGACATGTCCATCCTGGGATACCTGGGGCAGCTGCAGAGCCCAGACATTGGGGCGGTGCTCCCACTGCACAGCCTGGTGCCATATCAGGTAAAGGAGCTTTTTGGGATGGATGGGCAATTTTGTTCCTACTGTATGTGTTTCTCAGAAGAGGGACAAACACTCTAATCTGCAGAGTGACTGTATTCAGGGTGTCTGGAAGCCAGGCTCCTGTCCAGTTGCTGGTGTGGCACGTGTGTACTGTGTGTTCTGCGTGTGCAGTTGTTGGTGCAGAAGCTGTTTTGTGTGCCTTGCCGTAGTGCCTGTGTGTAGGTGTGGGTGGGAGTTTGCAGGTTGTGTGGTCAGCAGGGTCTTATCTCTGAACTCAAACTCAATCCATGAGGGGCTGATGAGCACTTTTCTCTCTTTCCCACCTCAGGTACCTTTCAATGCTGTCGCACTCAGGGTTATTCACACGGATGTTGCTCCCAGCAACATCATGTACGCGGTGAACGCCAGCTGGGTCGGGCTGTGCTGCATTCCGGAGGAAGTCCGGTGCCAGACCGAAGGGCCAGTCCTGCTGACACAGACACCAGTCTGCGACTGCCTGGGCTTCGGTGAGCACACAGACAGGTTGCATAGTGATGGAATTATCTACTCTTTTAAAACCAGCTGGAGAAGTGGGGTGAGTGTGGTGTGTTCTCTGCTGTTAAAGACTGTGTTGCAGTCCTTGGACTTTGGTTAACAGGTGGTAGGAGCTGTGGGTGTTCAAGGGATGTCCTTGAACACTTGGAGCTTCTCTCAGAACTCCACAGTGACTCACTTTCTGGTTCACGTTCTTGAAAGCATGTTCCATGTAGCTTTTGCAAAACTCCAGTAGTTGTCTGACTTTCCTTGTGACTTAATTTAATGTTCCAGTTTTGACTTTGATGCTCAGTTGTGTGTAGGAATGTGATAGTGAGCAGGGATACCTAGTGACTGAGCTTTGCATGTGGATTTTTGGGTTTTTTTTAGGAATCGTCCGAGGAGTTGATATGGAGAAGAAGCTTTACCACATCCTGACACCAGTGCCTCCAGCGAATCTCAGATTAGTGAATTGTCTGCTCCTTGGGAACATCGCCATCCCTAACTGTGTGCTTGTGGGCCAGGTAAGAGCTCACGGGAAGGGCTGAGCTGCAGCTGGCTGGCAGGTTTTCCATTTTGTTATTCCTGAGGCTGATGCGTGCTGGGAGATGCCTGGGCATCAGCAGATGGTTATCTCTCTGTGAAATTGTCCTTAAGCACAGAAACCTTGGGAGAACAGAATGTTCTGCTCATGTTTCAGATGCCAAAGTGGGGTTTGGTGATTGCTGAGTCCTCCCCACCATCAGGGCATCAGCCTGGGGAGGGAAGTGCTTCCCCTTCTGCTGAAGGTACAAGTTCTTAAAGTTGTTTCTGGTTTAATTTTTCCATTTTGCAGCAAGGAATTGAGGGAGAGATCCCCTACGTCACATCTGATTACAACTACAGTATCATGGGCTCAGGGAAACTGAGGAAGAAGAAGCAGCATTTGAAGAGAAGGCAGTTCTCCTTTGAGTGTGATTACGCTTGAAGCCTCAGGGTGCTCAGCCAGGGTTTGTTCATGTGGGACCTCAGGTGGCTGCAGGAGCCCTGGGTGCTGCAAAGGCCCTGGGCAGGTAGATGCTACAGTGGGACCAGTTTT